TCCAAAAGCGTAGTTTTTCTTTCTTGGTTTGTTTTTACTTCTTGAAATTGAAATGTGTTAAAATATTTTTTTTAAAGAATAGCTCAAGCACCCAGTGAGGCCTTAAAGCCTGGGGTGCTTGCTTGTGTTGTCTGAGTCTAAGCTCGCCGCGCTGGAGGCCCCCCGGGAGACGGGACCCCGGCGTGGCTCTGTCTCCTTCCCAAAACCGCATGCACAGCTGCTGCCAGGTGCCCCGCTGCCCTCCTTCACTTTTCGTCCTGAACTTGCCAGTCACTCCTGGTCTCTGTCCGATGTTGGGGGGGGGGGGCGTGTTTCTTCCTGAGGAGCCGTCCTGGTCCTGCCCTGGGCCTCCACTTCCTCAGACCCACCCCCCACCCTGCGCCGGGCCCACCTTACAGCAGAGTCTCCCGGCCTCCCCTGTGCTCGCCGCTTTCCTGATGCTCCTTTTCACTTCCAGAGCCGCCCGTCTTGCTGTGTCCCTTGCCCTTTTGCTCTTCCGTGGAGATGCCCAGGCCTTTCTTTCCTTTGGGTACTTCCAGGGCTTTCTTCAGGTTTCCTTTCTGAGCTGTTTTGCTGATTTTGGACCTGGGAGCCAGGCCTCCTGCACCCGCAAGCTGCTGCACTTCCTCTAAAATCATTTCTCCCTTAGGCCCCAGTCCCTCAAACCCCCCTGGAAAGCACTGGTCGCTTCCTGTGCCCGTGCGCTTCCTGCTCCCGGCATTTCAGGTAAATGGAGTCAGACAGCCGGGGCCTTTGCTCCGGCTGCTTCCCTCAGCTCCGTGTTTGTCCTCGCCGCCCGCAGCGTGTCAGCCTGCGCTCCTCTTGGCTGTCACCCACTCCCTGTGGGGACATAGTTCTGGGGTCGACACCTATTTTCTTCTTTGTTGTTTGTTTTAAAATAACTTCTCTAATGTATTGGTGCCTAGTTCCAATAAGCATAAGCCTGATGCTCGAGTAGGCAGGTTCGGGTCTCCAGGCTGTGCACCTGGGGCTCGCAGCTCTGGTGTCTGTTCTGAGGAGCTGCCTGTGCCCAGGGCTCTTACCCCCATGGAGGGGGGGGTGTTCTGCCAGCCTCTCCTGTCGTGGGGTGGGTGGCGGCTCGGGATCATGCTGCCGCCCGCCCACCCGCCCGCCCTGCCCCACACACGGCAGGCCAGGATCTCACGCTGGGGTGGCCAGCAGCTGGGGATTGCGCTGCTGCCAGCCCCAGGTGGGGCGGCTCAGTGGGATCTGCCCACGGTATGCAAATTAGCCGCCATCTTGGTTGGTGGTTAATTTGCATATCATGCTGATTAGCCAATGGGAAGTGTAGCGAAGGTATGGTCAATTACCATGTTTGTCTGTTATTAGATAAGATTATTGACAAAGTAATTGGTAGTATTGTGCTTAATGTTAATAGACAATGTGGGTCAGTTATTGAGTATTTTATTCTTTATTTCAGTTTAAGGGGAGAAGAAAAGATTTTACTGAAGAAGTAAGAAATCTTTTGCTGGAGGAAATTACATGGTTAAATCCTGAGTTTTCTTTGAGGAAATATTTTCCATTGCTTCTTAAAAAAAAAGCTGAGCACCAAGTACTCTCTGAATGTCATTGTAAACAAGGTTAGTGATAATTATTATCATTTATGTTAATATTTCACTTTTGAAAGCACTAAGAAGTTATGGCCAGTGTGGCTCAGTTGGTTGAGCAATGTCCCATGCACCTAGAGGTCATAGGTTCAATTCCTGGTCAGGGGCACATGCCCATGTAGCAGGTTTGAGCCCAGTGGGGGGCATGCAGGAGATAGCTAAATAGATGTTCCTCTCTCATCATCGATGTTTCTGTCTCTCCCTCTCTCTCTAGAATCAATGAAAACATTTTTTAAGAAAAAGAAAAAAAGCACTAAGAGTTAGCCATTGACCCTTGGAAGTGGTCATCATGAAGAGAACATTGCTTATGGTTGGCAGGGAGAATTTATTCAACTGAAGTAAAGCATCTTGTGCAATGCAGTGTTAGCCCCTGCTAGCTTCCAGAGATGCCAGCCCAAGATAGCTATTAATAATTCACTTAAGGAAAGCCTTAAATGAGATAATTTGAACTTATTTGCTTGTATAAAGGCAGTCTAAATAAGATATTCAGCTTGCTTTCAGCATGCCACATTTGATTCTTACCTTTCGTTTTATAGTAAGACAATTGGATATTTTGAAGTAATACTAAGATTATTGGGTATTAAAATTTTTTTGATTAGTAAGCATATGCATTTCTATTATTCCCCAAATAGAAAATCCACAACTAGAGCCTGATGTCAATCTAAAGGAAACCAAAAGGAAACGAGTGGAAACCAAAAATCATAAATCAAAAAGAAGGAAACCAAATGAGTATTCAGAAAATCCAGAAAATATAAATGGAAAACCAAAAGAACTGGAAAAAACACATAACTACACTGGGATAAAGCTAGATTCTTCCAAAAGTCTGTATTCTAAAACACGCAGGAAGACACAAACTGCTGTGAGTACATGTGAAGTGGAAAGTGAAGCAGTAGAAGATTCTGATGTTCTGATAATAGATGATGACAAAGCATCTACATCAGAAATATCTTCTGTTCCTGGTAAATTAGTTCTTATCTTTTTTTTAAACCTGTCACTTCCCCTCTCTCAATATGTGCTCATTGCAAATTCAAACAATATATATGTATAAATAAGAAGTGGAAGCCTCACTGATGAGAGTCTTATAGATAATCTTATTAACATTGCTTTTTGATCTTTGATTGTTTTTCGCTTCTGTAAATATATATGCTTTTATAAAAAATAGGGATCAGCCCTAGCCGGTTTGGCTCAGTGGATAGAGCATAAGCCTGCAGACTGAAGGGTCCCCAGTTTCAATTCCCTGTCAGGGGCACATGTCTGGGTTGCGGGCTCGATCCCCAGTGGGGGCATGCAGGAGGCAGCTGATCCATGATTCTCTCTCATCATTGATGTTTCTATCTTTCCCTCTCCCTTTCTCTCTGAAATCAGTAAAAATATATTTTAAAAAATAGGGATCATATTATACATATTATTTTACATGTATTTCTCATATTTCTTACATGTTCCCATTCAGGGTATCTAACTTTTCCTAAGTACCTTATTAAATTAATTCATCTATTTATGTTGCTTTAGAGCAGGGGTGGGGAATGTCCAGCCCGTGGGCTGTATAAAGCCCATGAGATCATTTGGTCTGGCCCTGCCAAGGCATTAGGGGTGAGTTAATGAAATGTTTGACCAAATAGAGCAGGCTAATTTTTAAATTGATAATTTTGTATGGCCCGCAAATGATATTATAAATATCCAAATGGCCCTTGGCAGAAAAAAGGTTCCTCATCCCTGCTTTAGAGTATGTTTTGATATTTGTATAGCAAGTCTATCATTTTTTTTAAAAAATGTATTTTATTGATTTTTTACAGAGAGGAAGGGAGAGAGATAGTCAGAAACATCGATGAGAGAGAAACATCGATCAGCTGCCTCCTGCACATCCCCCACTGGGGATGTGCCCGCAACCCAGGTACATGCCCTTGACCGGAATCAAACCCGGGACCCTTCAGTCCGCAGGCCGACGCTTTATCCACTGAGCCAAACCGGTTTCGGCAGTCGATCATTTTTAAAAGCAATTTTCATACATCTCTACTATGAACTATAGTTTCCCTTACTCTCATAAATCCCATTGAGGTTTGATTTTGCATTAGTTTATAGATTAGTTTGGAGTGAATTGACATCTTTACAACATTCAGTTTTTCTCAACAGCAAGTGTAACATATCTTTCCATTTAAACTGGATGATTTAGTTGGGCATTTTAATGTTTCTTTTCAGTGGTCAAAAAAGGCTCCACTAAAATTATGCTGTCTTTGTTCTTTAGATATTTTTTATGGTAAAAATTATTTTTTATGTTTCTAGGATTATTAAAAATTTAAATGTATACTTTTAAACTTTACTGTCATGAGACTTTATGGTGGTTTTAAAGGGGAATTTGATGTGAAGAATTTTAAATGTAATAGTAAGTTTTGAAATTGCCTTGTTGGCATTTTGTAAATATAAATATTTATACAAATAGTAGTTATTGTTACATAAACTAATATAAATGTCTAAGAATATATGTTTATGTCAAGGAACAATACTTTAATGTATATTTTTTGCTTTAGATTCTGGAACTGAAGACATGCTTTGGACAGAAAAGTATCAACCTCAGAACTCCAGTGAACTCATAGGCAATGAACTTGCTATAATAAAGTTACATAGGTTGGTAAAATTGAGATATAGTTAATGAATATAGTTTTAAAATTTTTATTCTAAAATCTATAATTGTAAATTATTATAATTATAAAGAATGAACAAACAAAAGAATATTAAGTAAATATCCCTCTATTGTCCCTAGTGGTAAATTACTATTAAAGGTTTCTTGTAAAACCTTCCAGAAAAAATTTTATGCATATATTAGTTCCTTCTTTCATATTACTATTAATTCATGCCCATTATCTTTTGTCTACAATTCTAACATTCAAAATGTTCTGAAGACTGAAAGTATATTAACTTTATTATATAAAGTTTATTGTAGTCTTTATTGATCTCACTTGTAGGAGTTTATACATTTTTAAAAATGAAAATATTAAGTGATTATGGGTGTACTGTCACATACCTCTTTAGAGGTATTATGTAATAAAAGGGGCCCAGTGCACAAATTTGTGCACCTTGAAAGGAACTGTGGGCTGTGAGGCTGTGGTGGGCCCAGGGTTGGGTCTCGGCCCATCTTCTGGGCCCCCGCCGGGTCCTCCCGCCATGGCCCCCAGTCCCCCCTCTGCCGGCAGTCCTGCTCCTGCTGCTTCCACATGCTGATTGTGCCGGCCCCACTCGCACCCGCTGACGGTACAGAGCGATTGGGGCCAGCGCCAGCAGCAGGTGCGAGAGGCAGCTGCCAGCCCCTATCGCCCGCCCCTCAGGAGCAGGGGGAGGTGGAGAAGCCCTGAGGGATGATCAGGGCCAGCAGCCACTGCTTGCACTCGCTGATGGTGCCGAGTGATCAGGGCCGGTGCCAAGCGCCAGCAGCGGGTACAAGTGGGGTGGGCACCAGCAGCAGGTGTGAACACTGGCAGAACCGCGGCACTGGGGAGCAAAGAATTTTCAGTAATCACCAGAGACTTGCCCCAATGACAGTGAGCGGCACTCCATCTTGGTCTGGCGCCCCCACTCACATGCTCCACCATCCCACCGCAGCTGACGCCTGCCATGTTCTGCGCGCGCCCCCTGATTGTTCGGTTGTTCCCCCATTTGGTCTATTTGCATATTAGTGTTTTATATATAGGTGTGGTATATACCACATTACCTTTCTAATATCTGAAAAACTCTGAATTCTAAAACCCACTCGGCCCAGAGGATTTCATATAAGGAATTGTAGCCCATAATAAGGGTGAACATCTTGAACTTGGCGGTGTTCTAAGTACTTGCATTGTTCTTAGCTCATTTAATCCTTAGAAAAATAGTCTGAGGATATAAATTATAGTTGTCCTTATGTCATAGATGAGGAATGAGGCCTAGAGAGGTTGAGTATTTATCTAAGTTCACACAGTTAGAAAGTGATAGAGCTAGAATTTAAGCTCAGGTAGTCTAGCTCTAGACCAGTGGTTCTCAACCTTCCTAATGCCGCGACCCTTTAATACAGTTCCTCATGTTGTGGTGACCCCCAATTTCATTGTTACAAATTGAACATAATTAAAGCATAGTGATTAATCACAAAATAATATGTAATTATATATGTGTTTTCCGATGGTCTTAGGCGACCCCCGTGAAAGGGTCGTTCGACCCACAAAGGGGTCGCGACCCACAGGTTGAGAACTGCTGCTCTAGACTAAAACTTAATCTTTATACTTAGCATTATATATTAGACATCTTTCTTGTTATCACACAATCTACCTAAATTCTATTTAGTTGCTGTGTATTGTTTCTTGTATGGGTGCAAAAGTATATCTTTTCCCCTACTGATATACTTTCAGGTTTTTCCTTTTAGAAGCTAATATAAACAATGTTGCAATGAATGTCCTTTCATATATAGTCTACCTATATTCTGTGAATTATTTTTATTAACATACATTTTATTATGGCAGTTGGTTGAAAGATTGGAAAAGAAGAGCTGAATTAGAAGAAAGACAGAATTTGAAGGGAAAAAGAGATGAGAAACAAGAAGGTATTTTGAGTCATTTTCCCCATTTCACTGAAAATTTTTAGTATTAGATTATCTAAAAAATTTTATAAAATTTCTTACTCATATTCTATATTTGGTGTTCTAGTTTTTGCACATTAAATTTCCAGCATTTACTGGCAGGAAGTTCGTGGGATTTTTTAAAAATTTTTTTTTAATTTTTTTTTTTTTTAAGTTTGTGGGATTTGATCATTGGGTTTGGTGAGGTATAATTGCCGCCTAAGCAATTATCATTTTATATGCATTTGAATCATTTTTCAGATCTGTCGGATAGCATTGACTTTAAAGGCAGTTCAGATGAAGAAGAGAATCGTCTTTGCAATACTGTTCTCATAACAGGGCCAACAGGAGTGGGGAAAACTGCTGCAGTATATGCTTGTGCTCAGGAGCTTGGGTTTAAGGTCAGTCACAGCTACAGTAGAACAATGTTAATGAATTAAAAGAAAACATAAACCATTTTGCCTTTTTTCATGTATTCTTCCTTTAGATATTTGAAGTGAATGCCTCATCTCAGCGCAGTGGTAGACAAATTCTGTCTCAACTGAAGGAAGCTACTCAGTCCCATCAAGTAGACAAGCAAGGTGTAAATGCACAAAAACCTTGTTTTTTCAATAGCTACAACATAGGCAAGTCACCAAGTAAGTAAATTATTATTATTTTTTTGTCATAACCTTTTTTTTGTTGTTGTTAATCCTCACCCGAAGATATTTTTCCATTGATTTTTAGAGAGAGTGGAAGGGAGGGGGAGAGACGGAGGGAAACATAAATTGGTTACCTCCCTGCAAGCATCCCAACGAGGTCTGGGGATCGAGCCTTCAATGAAATCAAACCTGGGACCCTTCAGTCCAGGGGCCGACATTCTATTCACTGAGTCAAACTGGCCAGGGCTATTTGGATACTTTGAAATACAGTTTGTACAGGAAAGGTATGAGAAATGCTTCATTCTGCCCTGGCTGGTTGTTACTTCTCTTATTTCATTTCAGATTTTATTTATTTGGGTTCTCTTTTTTTTCCTATGAGTCTGGTTAAAGATTTGTTAAATTTGTTTATATTTTCAAAGAACCAGCTCTTGGTTTCATTGATCTTTTGTATTGGTTTTTAGACTCTATTTTATTTATTTCTGCTCTCATCTTTATTTTTTCCTTTCTTCTAATTGGGCTTTGTTAGTTGTTCTTTTTCAAGTTCTTTTAAATGTAAAGTTAGATTGTTAATTTGAGATTTTTCTTGTTTTTCAAGATAGGCCTATAGTGCTATGAATTTACCTCTTAGGACTGCTTTTGCTGTGTTGCATAGATTTTAGGTTGTGTTCTCATTTTCATTTATTTTAAGGTATCCTTTTATTTCTTCCTTGATTTCATTGTTTAGTAGCATGTTATTTAGAATCCATGTCTTTGTGTGTTTTTCAATTTTTTTCTTGTGATTGTTTCTAGTTTCATACCATTATGATAAGAGAAGATGCTCGATATGATTTTATTCTTATTCAATTTGTTGAGACTTGTGTTCTAACATGTGGTCTATCCTAGAAAACATTCCATATACACTTGAAACAATGTATTTTCTGCTGCTTTGGGGCAAAGTGCTCTGAATATAACATTAAATCCATCTGAACTGATGTGTCTTGTAAAGCCACTGTTTCCTTGTTGATTTGCTGTCTGGAAGATCCATCCATTGATGTCAGTGGGGTGTTAAAATACCCTAGTGTTACTGCATTACTGTCAATTTCTCCCTTTTTGTCCATCAAGATTTGCTTTATATATTTAAGTGCTCTTATTCTGGGTACATACATGTTTACAAGGTTTATATCCTCTTTTTGGATTGCTCCCTTTATCATTATATATTGTCCTTTTTCTCTTAATATAGCCTTTGCTTTAAAGTCTATTTTGTCAAATATAAATATTGCTACCCCAGCTTTTTTTTCCATTTTAATTTTCATGAAATATCTTTTTCCAGCCCTTTTAGTCTCTGTGTATCTTTCCTTCTGAGATGGGTCTCTTATAAACAGCATATATATGGGTCTTGTTTTCTCATCCATTCAGCTACCCTATGTCTTTTAATTGGAGCATTTAAGCCATTTACATTGAATCCAAAGTCTTGAAAAGTGTATCATATATTATGTTCAGTTTTTGTTC